TGGTCAGAGTTATCTGATACATGTACTGGTAGGAAGTAGTAGAAATTCAATAGAATAATTAAGATACACAGGTTGATCCAGACACCATCGTCATAAAAAAAAAAAATTCAAAAACTGAGTTGTGTTATTAACAACTCCAAATGGATAGAATTCTGCATATACATCTAATTGTTCATTACTTAATTAGGACATATAACTTATATGCAATTCTTACCCTTTCACAACATTAAAAAATCCATATTTTATTGTTTTTCTTTTAGAAAAGATTTTTTTGGGGTGAAAATGTGCCTTTGAAAAGTGAGAAGAGAAAGTTGAGAAAAACCATTAATGAGATTGAAACCCTTCAAGTAAGTGATATAAGGTAGAACCTTTGAATAATTATATGTAATTTATCAATAGATTAAATTAACATATCCAGTATTATCCCACATCGTGGGTTCTGGGGAGGGTAGTATGTACGCAGACCTTACCCCTACCTTGTGAGGATAGAGAGGTTATTTCCAATAGACCCTCGACTCCGAAAAGTATAAAAACCATATTAATGAAAATATAGGCAAGAAGGGATAGTACCAAAAGGCCATATAAAAGTAAGATAAAACAATATGATAGTAAGGTGGTCAACAATAAAAGAAAAAAACAGAAACCTACTAGCAACAGAAAGCGAGACTGCATGTCCATACTATTGTTTTGAACACGTTAGACTACCTACTCTACTACCCTAATCCTCGACCTCCATACTTTCCTATCAAGGGCAATGTTCTCGGTCAGCTGAAGTTGCGTCATGTCTTGCCTAATCACCTTTCCCCACCTCTTCTTTGGCCTACATCTACCTCTCCGTAGGCCCTCCAATGTCAACTTCTCACACCTCCTCACCGAGGTGTCCGTGCTCCTCCTCCTCCTCACATAACCAAACCACATAAGCGGCGCTTCCCGCATCTTGTCCTCAATAGGGGCCACGCCCACTTGTCGCGAATAACCTCATTTCTGATCCTATCTAACCGGTTGTGCTTGCACATCCATCTCAACATCCTCATCTCTGCTACCTTCATCTTCTTTACATGAGCGATCTTGACTGGCCAACACTCAGCCCCATACAACATCGTTGGTCTGACTACCACTTTGTAGAACTTAACCTTAAGTTTCGGTGGAACCTTCTTGTCACACAAAACTCCGGAAGTGAGTCTCCATTTCATCCATCCCGCCCCAATACCATGTGTGACATCTTCATCAATCTCCCCATCCCTCTGAATAATAGACCCAAGGTACTTAAAACTCCCTCTCCTAGGGATGGCCTGCGAGTTCAGCCTCACCTCTCCTTCCCCTTCTTGAGTCTCACCACTGAACTTACACTCCAAGTATTGTGTCTTGGTCCTGCTCAACTTGAAACCTTTAGATTCCAAGGTCTCCCTCCATACCTCTAATTGCGCGTTCACACCGTCTCGCGTCTCATCAATCAATACAATATCATCTGCAAATAACATACACCGCGATACCTCCCCTTGGATGTGGCGCGTCAGTATGTCCATCGCCAGACCAAACAAAAAAGGGCTGAGTGACGACCCCTGATGCAACTCCATCATAACCAAAAAATGGTTCGAGTCCTCACCCACCATCCTCACTCGGATCTTTAATCCATCATACATGTCCTTAATCAACCTAACGTAGGCAACATGTATACCTCTAGCTTCCAAACATCTCCACAAAACCTCCATCGGAACTTTATCGTACGCCTTTTCTAAGTCGATAAACACCAAATGCAAGTCCTTCTTTCTCTCCCTATACTGCTCCATCAATCTCCTTACTATGTGGATGGCTTCTGTAGTCGAACGCCCTGGCATAAATCCAAACTGGTTCTCGAAAATAGACACACTCCTCATCATCCTTAGCTCTACCACTCTCTCTCCAGACTTTCATAGTATGGCTAAATAGCTTGATACCCCGATAATTATTGCAATTTTGGATATCACTTTTGTTCTTGTATAAAAGAACCATCGTACTCCACCTCCACTCTTCAGGCATCTTATTCGTTCTAAAAATGACATTAAATATCTCGGCAAGCCACTCCAAGCCTGCCTTACCCCGCACTCTTTCAAAACTCCACCGGAATTTCATCCGGCCCGATCGCTTTGTCCTTGCTCATCTTACGCATAGCCTCCTCGACTTCATCAACTCTAATCCGCCTACAATATCCAAAGTCACAACGGCTTCCGAATAGTTCCAAATCACCCAATACAATGCTCCTGTTCCCCTCCTCGTTCAAGAGACTATGAAAGTAGGTCTGCCATCCGATGGATAGGCCATATTAAGAAATCCAAATTCACATTAAGAACTAAAAAAATTATATAATCTTTAAGAGACAAATGGAGTATTTATAGAATACTAAATTATTGTACTCCGTTGTATTGTTATTAATTAATTCATTCTCAAACATTAATCATTTTGACAAATTGAATATATTCTAAATACTTAATATTATTAAAAATAAGAAGTCATTTTTTCTTCGCTAAGTCTCTCTTTATTTCTTCGATTGGTATAATCTATTTAAGTGAGACACTTGATAGATAAAGAATAATTTAATTAAATGTTTTATAATTAAAATTATTAAATCTCTTTGTTAATGGTGTACAAGAAAGACTTTATTTATGGTATTTTGAAACCAAAGATATTCTATTCACCCCTCACCACCAAAGACTATAATAGGAATGAATATGATTTTTTTCTCTTAATTAAAAGTTTCAGGCTTGAATCATGGGAATAAATATTTTTTGATAGGAGTACGATATCCCTTTAATAGAGGTCTTAATATGAATATCGAATACTTAGCCCAAAAAAAAAAAAAAAATAAAAAAATAAAAAAGAGGACTATCCAATGAATTAGATCCTGTAGGATATGTGATTTGGGGAACATTCTCACGCTCACTGACAAGATATGACTAGTTCATGTTGGATCAAACGCAGTTTATTTAGTTTTCCTATTTCTTTTTAATCTTCTCTTTCCTTTTTCTTCTCTTAAAGTAGCACCGATCTTGGATAGACTCTTTGTCTGTGGTCCCCACATGCGCCCTTTGACCAAAAGTCAATTCCTTCCGTCTTTTATGCCTTTCTAATTTAACTCTTTCATAAGGTCACTATTTCTCAACACACAATTAAAATCTTTTTTTACCTCATATGGTGTTTGGGTAAGGGTTAAAATATTTAATTTTTGCTCTTAATTCTAACATTTGATTTTACAATCTTCTTAAGTAAACCTTACAAACTATAAAAAATTTATGGTTCAAATTGGGTTGACTTTCAACTATCGCTTTGACTCCTCCCTACATTTTTGACATAATTTTGAATTCTTTCGAAATCAAAAGAAAGATATATGATAATCAATTCGGTTATCTATATATCAGAATAGAGATCCTCTTACTTGTTCAATCTTATATTTATACACGAGTAATGCTACAAATGATCGTCCTTATAACTTGTCGATGTCATCTCATACTAGAGACTTTTGCAGTAGATAACTAGTCTATTAGAAGCTCTGTACTTCTTAAGTGGATGTTGTCTATATTGAAAAGTTACATCAAACATATTAAAAATTATTTTTTATAATTAAATATATTTAAAAATGTTTGAGAAATCATAATCATAGAAAAATTAGTCCGACTCCTTAAATAATTGCAGTGTCATATAAAATGAGGCAGATGCACATTATTTTTCCTTTATTTTAAGAGTTTTTTGAAAGTACTATATCATTCATGGAAATTAGTGTTTTATTACATTTTACTTGACAATTTTGTTGCAAGAAAAGCCAAAAACATTATGCTTTGGGGTTAAATGAAAAAATATATAAATAAGACTAGTGAATATTTTTCTTCATTTATAAATGATATGAGAAAAACCTCTATTAAGAAAGTGAAGTATGTCGCCAATTTTCAGACATTTAAAATGCAAAAAAAAAAGTATATTTCTCTTAAGGAAAATGATTCAAAAGAAGTTTGATAAATACTATCTCCGGTCCACAATAAATGAATTTTTGGCCTTTTTTTGTGATTCAAAATAAGTGATTTTTTCAAATTTCAAGAATGAATTAATTATTTTTTTCCTACACTACCCTTGGAGTAAATAGTGTTGGAGTATGTGTTAGGTGTATTTATGTGAAGAGATAGCAAATGTTAATATGATCAATTTTATTGTTAATTAATGTTAAAAGGTAAATTTCTTAATCTGTATGAAAATAACTAAAAAATCACGGACCGGAGGGAGTACAACATAAGATGGACAAATAGCAAATGCATGTCATTTAAAAAAATATTTAATTCTAGACCTTGAAAGTATCAAACTATTTGGACCTACAAAAGAAATTCTTTTATAAAGACATGACAACAAAGAAGAATATTAATTGAAAATAGGTAATTGAATTCACTATTAAATTACATCACCTACCAAGACTTTAGTCCAATACTCCATTTATTACTTCTTTTATTCCCCATGTTCCCTCCTTTTTTTCAATTTACAAAAAAATCTTCATTAGAAAATAAACAAAACACACACATACACACACTAAAGGAAAGAAAAAGGGCAAAAATTACTTTTAGTCGGCGGCCAAAATTATTTATATCTAATAGCCGCAAAATTGTATAAAATTTGTATATGTTTTGTATAGAACCTACATAAATGAGAAGGAGAGCTGTCAAAGTTGCTGCCATGTGACCAGGAGGTCGCAGGTTCGAGCCGTGAAAAAAGCCTCTCGCAGAAATACAAGGTAAAACTGCGTACAATAGATCATTGTACTCCGGTCCTTTCTCGGATCTCGCGCATAGCGGGAGCTTAGTGAACGGGCTGCCTTTTATACCAGCAATGTATATATACAAAAATTTCCGGCTATTACTTTGAGAGCGGCTATACAACGTCATTTTAAAAAAAAGAAAAAAAGAAAAAAGCAAGACAACTACTTTTTCAAAAGTTAGCTCTTCTGCTTTACACCATGAGAATTTCTCATCATAGTAAGCACTCTCTTTTCTGCTCCTTTTGACATTCATTCTCCCTCAAAACACAATCATCTTCTACACTCACTAAAGCTTACTCTCTAAGCTCTCTCTTCTTTCCTATCTTCTCCAATTATCAATATGGATACCAATTCAAAGCAATTTGAATCCCTTCACTTTGCTATAACATTAATTTTTATGGCTGTTGTCTCAGTTCTTGCAGGGATAAAAGCCGGTGCTAGTTCCTCCATTAAAACTGACGCTGAAGCGCTTTTGCTATTCAAGAATATGATACAAAAAGACCCTGGTGGAGTTTTATCAGGTTGGCAGCTAAAAAATAATCCATGTTCATGGAATGGTGTTACTTGCAATAATCTTGGAAGAGTTACAAATCTTGATCTTCAACAATCTGAACTTGTTGGAGAGGTCTCTTTTTCTCCCTTTTCATCTCTAGATATGTTGACTGTTCTAAATCTGTCTTCGAATTCGTTCTATGTAAATGCCTCCACCTCTTTAAGTCAACTCCCTTATAGTTTGAAGCAACTAGAACTTTCCTTTACTGGACTTGCAGGTTTTGTTCCTGAGAATTTCTTTGCAAAATGTTCAAATCTTGAATATGTTAGTCTTTCTTTTAATAATATCACAGGTTCTTTGCCTCAGAATTTCTTGTTGCATATAGATAAGTTGCAGTATTTAGCAATGGATTATAATAATCTCACAGGTTCAATTTCTGATATCAAGATTGAGACTTGTAATTCCTTATTGCATCTTGATTTATCAGGGAATCAAATATTTGATTCAGTTCCTGCTTCTTTGTCTAATTGCACAACACTTCAAGAATTGGTTTTGGCTGAAAACTCCTTTTCTGGTTCAATTCCAAGTTCATTTGGTGAGCTTAAAAGCTTACAAAGATTGGATCTTTCCAAAAATCATTTATCTGGTTGGATCCCATCTGAATTTGGAAACTCATGCACTTCACTTGTGGAACTCAAGCTTTCTAATAATAACATCACTGGTTCAATTCCAAATTCCTTCTCCTCATGTTCTTCTCTTCAGAATCTTGATTTATCCAACAATAATCTAACCGGTCCGTTTCCTGATTCTATCCTTCAGAATTTAGGTTCTTTAGAGACTTTACAAATGAGTAGCAATAAAATCTCAGGACCATTTCCTGCTTCCCTTTCATATTGCAAGAAACTACGCGTCGTTGACTTCAGCTCCAATATGATTAATGGGATGATTCCACCTGATTTATGCCCTGGAGCTTCCTCATTGGAGGAGCTAAGAGCACCAGATAATTCACTTTATGGTCCAATTCCATCTCAACTTTCTCAATGTTCACAGCTTAAGACAATTGATTTTAGTTTGAATTATTTGAATGGTTCAATTCCATCAGAATTAGGAAAGCTTGAGAATCTCGAGCAGCTTATCGCTTGGTATAATAGCTTGGATGGGAATATACCGGCAGAGTTAGGGAAGTGCAGTAATCTTAAGAATCTTATTCTGAACAATAACTACTTGAGTGGGAAAATTCCAGCTGAATTGTTTAACTGTGGTAATCTTGAGTGGATTTCCCTCACAAGCAATGGACTAAGTGGTGAGATTCCTAAAGAGTTTGGTTATTTGTCAAGATTGGCTGTTTTGCAACTAGCAAATAACAGTTTGAGTGGTCAGATTCCAAGTGAATTAGTCAACTGCAGTAGTTTGGTTTGGCTAGATTTAAGCAGCAACAGGTTAACGGGCGAGATCCCACCTCGACTTGGTAGGCAGCAAGGAGCTAAAGCACTGAGTGGAATTCTTTCAGGTAACACTTTGGTGTTTGTCCGAAATGTGGGAAATTCGTGCAGAGGCGTTGGAGGATTGCTCGAGTTCTATGGAATTCATCCTGAAAGGCTTTTACAGGTTCCTTCGCTAAAGAGTTGTGATTTCACTCGGTTGTATTCTGGTCCCGTTCTTAGTGCTTTTACTCGATATCAGACTATCGAGTACCTTGATCTTTCTTACAACGAGCTTCGTGGCAAAATTCCTGATGAATTTGGAGACATGATAGCTTTGCAAGTTCTTGTTATATCACACAACCATTTATCGGGGGAGATTCCTTCATCACTTGGAGGGCTAAAGAATTTGGGAGTGTTTGATGCATCACATAACAGATTGCAGGGTCATATTCCTGATTCATTTTCACGTCTTTCCTTTTTGGTGCAAATTGACCTTTCCAACAATGAATTGACAGGTGAAATTCCATCAAGGGGTCAGCTCAGTACACTTCCTGCAAGCCAATATGCAAACAATCCAGGACTCTGTGGGGTTCCATTGCCCGAATGCCAATATACCGATCCACCTACCACAAATGGAGATGGAGGAAGGACCGGAAAAAGAAGTTCAGCTGCATCTTGGGCTAATAGCATTGTTCTTGGAATTCTCATTTCCATTGCCTCCATTTGTATTTTGATAGTTTGGGCGATTGCTATGCGTGCAAGGCGAAGAGAGGCAGAGGGGGTGAAAATGCTTAGTAGTTTGAGTACTAATTATGCAGCCTCAACATGGAAGATTGACAAAGAGAGAGAGCCATTGAGCATCAATGTGGCCACTTTCCAAAGACAACTTAGGAAGCTCAAATTCTCACAGCTGATCGAGGCAACGAATGGATTCTCAGCTGCAAGTCTAATTGGCTCAGGAGGATTTGGAGAAGTGTTCAAGGCAACATTGAAGGATGGATCAAGTGTTGCAATCAAAAAACTCATCAGGCTAAGTTGCCAAGGCGACCGAGAGTTCATGGCCGAAATGGAGACACTAGGAAAGATCAAGCACAAGAACCTTGTACCCCTCTTGGGATATTGCAAAGTTGGTGAGGAGAGACTTTTGGTCTATGAGTTCATGGAATATGGAAGTCTTGAAGAAATGCTCCATGGGAAGACAAGAACGCGCGATAGGAGAATCCTAACATGGGAAGAGAGGAAAAAGATAGCAAGAGGAGCAGCCAAAGGACTATGTTTCCTTCATCACAATTGCATCCCACACATCATACACCGCGACATGAAGTCAAGCAACGTGCTTTTGGATAACGAAATGGATGCCAGGGTCTCGGATTTTGGGATGGCACGGCTCATAAGCGCGCTAGACACACACCTAAGTGTGAGTACACTAGCAGGAACACCAGGATATGTGCCACCTGAGTACTATCAAAGTTTCAGGTGTACAGCGAAGGGGGATGTTTACTCGTTTGGCGTCGTGCTTCTTGAACTCTTAACAGGTAAAAGGCCAACAGATAAAGAAGATTTTGGTGACACTAACTTGGTAGGATGGACTAAAATGAAAGTAAGAGAAGGGAAATCAATGGAAGTAATTGATCAAGAATTGTTATCAGTGAGTACTAAAGGGAATGATGAAGCAGAAGTAGTAGAGGTGAAAGAAATGGTAAGATACTTGGAAATAACACTGCAATGTGTAGATGACTTTCCATCAAAAAGGCCTAATATGTTACAAGTTGTGGCTATGTTGAGAGAGCTTATTGCTGGAAGTAGTTCAAGCAACAGTGGTTAAAGAGCAAACCACAAAACAAAAAGGAAAAAAAGAACAGAAAGAAGTTTTTTTCTCAGGATTAGTAGTGAAGAAAAAACTAAAGAATGTAAGATTCTTTTTTCTTTTCTTTGTGCATGTATTCAGATGCATTTGTACCTAGTGAGCAACTTCTCTTGCTTTTTGCAATATTAATTATTTCATGTATCAGAGTCTTGTGTGGATATTGATAACATTTGATGATGTACTAAGTGACAATAAATTAACTATATCTCTAATCATAAAATAAGTAAAATCAACTATAGAAAAAAAGGGAAATTAAGTTAAATGTATTTACAATTGTTTCTAACACTCAATATTAACTCAAAGAAAAGTGAGCATTTATCTAAATTCGGATGAAGAAGTATCTAAATTTGATAAATAGTTTAAAATTACCTTCACCTTTTAGTCACAAAAAAAAATCCACCATTATTTCTATTGCTAAAAATATCCCTTGATAAACCCAACAGATGTGGGGCCACTTTCCATTATTTCTATTGCTAAAAATATCCCTTGATAACGGCAACAAATGTGGGGCCACTTTTAGACCACGTCGCTCCTATTTCGCTTCATCAATATGAGTATATTATACTCATATTGCTAAAAAGAGGAAGCTGCAAATTTAAAAGCAGATGGGAAAGAAGAGCATATTTAAATAGAAAATGAAAAGAAATGGTATTACAATCTTACAATCTATTCAAGTGGCCCTGTGAAATTAAAGAGAAAAGGAAACTCATTTCTAGACCGGCACTTCTACTAAGTTTTACAAGCAAGATAGTTTGGTAACAAGGTAAATTCTTTGAACAAATTGAGAACTTTTTTTTTTATATTATCGCGTTTGATATAATTCAGAGTAAATAGTTAAATCGTCTAAGTTTTGGTGCATTATGACATCTTCTTGATCTTCTGATTCCGATGTCATACTATGCCATGACATGACGTAAGGCAAGCAGTTGAGATGGCGAGTGCATTTTGGATATCAGTGCGGAAATCACGTCAAAGCAGAGATTGATGTTCATATGCCACCAGAGATCGAGAACCCGATACTACTAGTCGAAGAAAGAAATGGGTGACTCCAGTTTCTTTCAAAAGTCTAGGTTTCTATTGAATGTGGTGATATGCCGATGAGTCGGGTGGTCAAGAAAATGCCACGTTTGCTAGGTCGAGCAACCATATTGCAAAGAGTGGGAGCCGTAGACTATAAATTTTGGGCATGATCGCAGCGGAGATCTTGCCAAGGATGTGTGCAACGCATCACTTGAGTGTCTTTCCTGTGGGATAGACTTGTGGACTGCCTGAGGGCATTGAGAGGAGCCAAACCATTGCCAAGGGGAGGCCTAGTGCTGAAATGCCAAGGTGAGGGAACAGATTCGAAGGAAATAGCAAAGCTTCAGAATTGGGCGGATTTCCAAGTTGGAAGGTGTCATTCTGGAAAGGGGTACGCCGAATGATCGGGGACCACTGAGATGGGGCCAAGTGCGAAGCACACCGGACCGGGAAGCCGTGCTAGTAGAACCAAGAGAGTTCCTGACTATAGGGCAAGTACAGACGTACTACCAGGAACATTGGGTACTTGCTGAGGAAGTGACAGATGGAAAACAAAGAACTTTGTTCGTGAATGTGGCGATGCTATGACTTTGAGAATGTAGTACTCACCAAGAGTACGTCCCAAGAGCTGGCCGAATGCCAAGTGGGACGAGTGCACTAAGAAGTATCCTCCACATTGAATGTGGGAGGATCCACCTATGCAGAGGCAATGAGGGCGAAATTGTGAATTCGGAAGCAAACAAGTCTTCAAAGGTAATGAGGCCAAGGAAAAGGCTACAGTAGTGACTGAGCTACGAGAGCTATGCCAGAGGGCGTGAAAAGGCTACGGGAGCGATAGTGCTATGGGAGCTGCGCCAAAGAGCACGCTGGTGTGCTTACCTTTGATGGAAGAGCTTCATACGGATATGAAGGCTATGAGGGTCATAGTGTGGTTGACTAGTATAAGTTACCACAAAGTTAGACATCAGAGGGTGCAAGTGCGGAGGCACTTTCCAAGTGAACACCGAAAGGAGGTAAAGTATAGAGGCACGCTTGGAAGATACATGGGGAGAAGTGCAAGGGGCACGACTCCATTTTGAGCAAGACTTTGACGAAGTCCGACCCACAAGATTAAGGGAGCCACGAAGTACATATCTGAGGGGGCAGACTCCGGGATGTCGTAGGCCTTGATGTGTCATCGGGGATGATGACAAAATGAGTGTGGGAAAATGTCACAACCCGTATTTTGGGGTTGTAACTTTATTCGAAACCGGTGAGAAAAGGTCCTTCTGATTCTCTGACGTAGACCTGCCCACTCAAGAAACTTGGGCTTTTTAATTTTAAGCATATATAAGGAGGGTATAGGTGTTGAAGCTCAACCTGCCTCCCCCGTACGTGCTGCTACCAAGCCGTACCAAACGAGCTACCTTGAGGGGGAACCTCAAGGGCCTGCCTTAACGACTCAAAGGAGTGTCTTAGGTATCCATATGAGTTAGAGATCTCTATGGACGGCGTGACGCCTTCGGACTAGTGTTGGGCACCAAACGGGCGCTAGAGGCTCGACATGTGGGACGAGTATGCCCCGCGGACTACCGAAATGATGGATCGAGACCTCCGTGCCGATTGGATACTTGAAGCACCTATCTTAGGGGTTTCATGTGTCGACTTGTGAGCTTAGCTTGGGTTCATCTATGGGAGCAAGGGTCCGTTGGCTAAACGTGTAGTTGTGGGGTGACACTACACTATACGAGATAGAAGTGTGTCGCGAGGGCTATGTATGGGCATGCCACGAAAGACGCACATGACAATGGCCAAGGACTAAAGGTTGCTTTACTCGGGCGAAGCACAAGTTGGGTACGGATGCACGAGGTGAGTGTCAAGCTTGAGGATTGGACTGTGCACGCGAGAGCGATGCTCAGTGTCAGGCGAGGGACAAGACATGTCCTTAGCCAACCCCAGGGCGCGCATGGATTATGATCCTAAGAAGAGAAGCACAACAACTAATCGAGGCCAAGAGCCTAAACATCATACGGGCGGCACAATTGAAGCAGGCCTTCTAGGCAAGCTTCACCATAGGCACAAGATCGTGCTTGGAAAACTTGGGAAAAGGAAAGACTAGCCTGCAGTGAGGGGAACTACAGGCGCCGCACGGGCTATTCGGTGCCGCTGACGAGCGTAAGAAAGTCGGCCCGTGACAAGTGGTATCAGAGAAAAAGGTTATTACCATGGAAACTGATGGAGATAATGTTACCTTAGACAACATTCGTGGGAGAGACGAGTCACCAACAAGGAGACCGAAACCAAAGAAGAGAGGGATAAGCAAAGTGCGAGATCCCGCCATAGCCGTAACAAGTGAGGTTCCAGCTTTTGTGCTACCCCCACAACAGGTTGGCCGTGGTGAAGATTGTGAGGCTTCTGCCCCAAATCATTTAGACGTGAGAATGGATCTCACCGAGGCTGGTTTAGCTGCGTTAAACCGGCGTATTGAAGTTGTTGAACACAACTTCTGCTCACTTGATTCTACTGCCCTAGAAGAGCTAGGAGACATCATAGAGACGTTAGATCAAGTGTTCAAAGAGCATAGGGATGGATTGACCAACCTTGAGCTTAAACTGGCCGAGGTTGTATCATCTTTGCACGGGGAAGTTGAAGCCCTAAAGCAACAACTGCAGGAAGCAAAGCTAGCTGGTGGCACTGGATATGTAACAGTACGTGAAACCAAAATCGAGGGCCCAAAACCGAAGAAGTTTAGGGGCGAACGAAATGCTCAAGATCTAGAGAACTTCATCTAGAAGATGGAAGACTACTTTGAGCACCTCAGCATCGTTGATGAAGCTGCCAAGATTCGGGAAGCAACGATGTATCTTGCCGACACCGCTATGCTGTGGTGGAGGAGGAAGAAATCCGACATGGAGAAGGGAACTTGCTCTATCAAGAGCTGGGAACAGTTCAAGTTCGAACTGAAGCACCAGTTCTACCCCCAAAACATTGTCAATGAGGCACGTAGGAGGTTGAGAGATCTCAGGCAAATAACTTTCATAAGTGAGTACGTGAAGGAATTCACTAAACTCATCCTACAGATTCTGATGTCATACTATGCCATACTATTCCATGACATGATGTCAAGGCAAGCAATTGAGATGGTGAGTGCATTTTGGATGTTAGTGCGAAGATCACGTCAAAGCAGAGATTGATGTTCATATGCCACCAGAGATCGAGAACCTGATACTACTGGTCGAAGAAAGAAATGGGTGACTCCAGTTTCTTTCGAAAGTCTGGGTTTCTATTGAATGTGGTGATATGCCGATGAGTCGAGTGGTGAGTTCCGACCAAGTGGTTGTGAGTTCGAGTCACCCCAAGAGCAAGGGGGGATTTCTTGGAGGGAGGGAGCCGAGTGTCTATCGAAAATATCCTCTCTACCCCAGGGTAGGGGTAAGGTCTGCGTACACACTACCCTCCCCAGACCCCACTAGTGGGATTATACTAGGTTGTTGTTGTTGTTGTTGTTGTACTATAAATCACAAACATAAGACTCCAAACAAGATTTGTACATAAAACATATGACTCTGAGTTTTTGGACATGTTAGAACAGAATTGCCTAAGATTTTTGGGCTTTGTTATAAAAAGGGATATCAAGACTCTGGTGCTAGGGGTGTACAAACAAAACCGATAATCCGAGTCAAACCGGAAAAAAAACCCGATATGGTTTGGTTTGGTATTGGAAAATAAAACCCGACCATAATTGGTTTGGTTTGGTTTTAACTAAAAAAAGTTAAACCGAAACCAAACCAACCCGATAGTATATTTATATAATTTTAAAAAATATTTTATACATATAAATATTTATTAAACTTTTTCACAGTTTTATCTTTTAACGTATTATTTCAAGTTTAGACTTAACATTCTTGAATGGTAAATAAATTTTAAAGCCCATAAATGTATTAACTCAAACAAAGTTCAAATCAATACTAATGCTAACAAAAGAAATTCAGTTCAATACTAAGAATGACGATAGTGTTGGATAATTATTTTAGTTTTACATTGGTTTATAATGAAAATACATAACTTAGTTTATCTTTTTCTTTAGTGCTTAGTTATGTAATTAATATTAGTACTTATTAGTTATACTTATTTTTGCATGACCT